GGTCTCGTGATCCACCTCCTTGCACTCGACCTGCAGGTTGCCGCCGCCGGCCTCGGCCGCTCGCCAGAGGGCCACCGCTGTGGCCGCCACCGCCTGGCGAAAGCCGCCAGCGCGCACAGCAGCACCGAAGAGAACCTCCGCCATCGCGTTGACCATGACCGTAACCAGCTCGAACCAGGGGCTGGGCGAGCAGGCTGCTTGAGCCAACATGGCTTGAGTCAAACTGGCTACGGACCGAACGCGTGAGACACCGAGAGCACCCTAAGACGGCCACAGGGAGCTCAAATGTGGTATAAGATAATTCCAAAAAGGCCCTCAATAAGACCGAACCCCCAAAGAGTTTCAAGATGACCACGGGGGGCCCTTCCACAGTGCTCGTCCAGTGGTGCCCCCCTGCGCGCTGGAGGAACACCCACACCTCTACAGTAGGCGCGTACGATAAAGATTCGACGCGGAGGCCCCACATGTGCATGTGAGTTTCTGGCGCTTCCGTCAATGAGCATCTGAATGAAGGAGTATACGTCTGTGGCGAGTGGGCGATCTCTGGTGGCTCCCCCACTGGAGTGCCCAGATGGTATGCCTGCTACGTCAAGGTGCTCTTGGGGCACTGAAAACGAGTGGCCAGGGGTACCCAAATCGGCTTTTCGTCAGAAAGGTCTGACAACAAGTTCTACGATCTCGGCACGAACAAGCACATGTAACGCCCTCCTGGCGGCTTCCCGTTGGGTGCACAAGGGCCATGCCGACTACATCGCGGTGATCAGGAAAGTCTGACCGGAGAAGGGCTGGGGTGGGTGGGTGGCAAAACCAGCGGAACGCTCGAGGCATCCTCACACTATACGTATGAACGGGCAAATGCAACACCCCTTGGCACCTTCTCCTTTGGTGGGCGCGAAACTGCACAGGTCCTACCTCACGGCGGTTCCTCCTTGGGGTGCTCACGTGGTGCGCCTGCCATATCGATGTGATCAAGAGGCTCTGAGCCACAAAAGAAAAGGATTGGGGCCGCCAGACGAGGGAACTGCTCGAGACATCCCTACAACCAGGGCGCGGACCAATGAATTTTCTCCCCCCTGGCGGCTCCCCTTTCGGGTGCTCGCATCGCCACGTCGAGGCGATCATGATATTTTCACAAAACCATGGGTCGGGGCCGCCAGACAAGCGAACCGTTCGAGGCATCCCCACAATCTTAGCTCGAACGAGCAACTGTTCTCTCCGCTGTTGTTATGAGGCTCTCGCGAGAGAAGAATCCGGGGCCCAAAACAAGCAAACCGTCTGGAAGCATCCCCACAATCTTGGCGCGAATGGGCAAATGTCCTAACTCGTTGGGATGCCCAAGTGCCTGGTCTGCTGCGCCGCGATGCGGATGGGGCTCTGAAGAGAAAGAAAGAGAGAGAGAGAGAGAGAGAGCAAGCAATAAAGAGAAAGAGAGAGAGAGAGAGAGAACGAAAAGAGAGAAAGACGGAAAGAGAGAGAGAGAGAGAGAAAGTGAGAGAAAGAGAAAGAAAGAGAGAGAGAAAGAGAGAGAAATGGCTGAACCACCAAAGAGGCAAACCGCTTGAGTCATCCTCACAATCTGGGCGCGCACGGGCACAAATCATAACACGTGGCTGCGCATCCTTGGGGTCCTCGAGTGGCACGCTTGCAACATCGCTATGATCAGGGGGTCGGACAAGAGAGGAAGAGAGAGAGAGAGAGAGAGAGAGAGAACACATAAGACATAGAGAGAGAGAGAGAAAGAGAGAGAAACATATATAACTCTGGGCCACCAAACGCCAACCAGCGAACCGCCTGAAACATCTCCACGATCTGGGCGCGAACGGGCGAATGTCCTCCCCCTGGTGGCTCCTCTTTGGGTGCTCAAGTGCCGGGTGTGCTACATTGCGATGCGCATTGGGCTGTGAAGAGCAAGACGCCTGGGCTACCAAATAAGCAAACCGCAGGATACATTCCCAGAATCTATGCGCGAACGGGCCGCCGCTCCTGCTTTTGGTGCCCAAATGCCACGCTTGCTTCATCGCGATGGGCACGGGGCTGTGGAAAGAGGAAAATCAGGGCCACCAAACAGGCAAACCGCCTGAGACGTTCCCGCAATCTGGGCGCGAACGGGGAAATGTCATGCCCCCTGGCTGCATATCCGTGGGGTCCAGAAGGACCACGTCTGCTGCATCGCGATGGGCGTGGAACTTTCGTCAAAATACATAAATGTGGGCCACCAATAATCCAAACCGCCTGAGACATTCCCTCAATCTGGGCGCGATCGGGCAAATGTCCTAACCCTCCAATGGCTCCTTGGCCTGAATGTAAATTAATCCGAATGTGACTGCGTCTGAATGTGAATGCGCGTGTGTGTGTGTGTGTGTGTGTGTGAATGGTCTGTGTGAATGAGTCTGTGTGTGTGTGCGTGAGACTGAGTTTGGGCAAGTCTGAGCGCGAGTGAATCTGAATGTGGGTGAGTCTGCGTGCGAACGAATCTGAGTATAGGTTGGTCTGTCTGCGAGTGAACCTGAGTTTGAATGAGTCCAAGTGTGAATGCATATGCATCTGAGTGATCTGAGTGTGGTGAGTTGGAGAAGGAGTCGGGAGTGAGGGAGCGAGGGGGCGGGATCGTCCCACTATTACCGTGGGCCCCACCGGATAATATGGAAAATTGACCACTGCGTGGAGCTCCCCATATGTGCATAGATTTGCATGGACTGGGTGTGAGTGAGTCTGAGTATGAGCATGATGAGTACGAGTCTGGGCACGAGTGAGTCTGGGACATCCTCGCAATCTGCCTAACCTGGGGTGCGACAGCCAGTGAGTCTGAGTATGAGTACACTGAATACGAATTTAAGTTTGAATGGGTCTGGGTACGAGTGAGTTTGACTACGAGTGGATATGAGGGTGGGTGGGTCTGAGTGTGAGTGATTCTGAGCATGAGTAAATCTGGAGGTGAGTGCGTCTGGCTATGATTATGATGGATATGAAACTGGCCCTGAGTGGGTCTGAGTACGAGTGAGTCTGAATACGATTGAGTCTGAGGGTGGGTGGGTCTAAATGTGAGTGAGTCTGAGTGTGCGTAAGTCTGGGTGTGAGTGAGTCTGAGTATAAGTATGATGAGTGCGAGTCTGAGTATGAGTGAGCCTGAGCACGAGTGAGTCTAGGACATCCTTTCAATCTGGGCCCTCTGAGAGTGCGGAAATCAGCGCCTCGCCATAGACATCCTCAGAATCTGCTTTGTCAGCAGACGAGTCAGACCACCAAAACACGCAAACCGCTTAAGACATCCTCGAAACCTGGCCCCCGTGGGGCGCGAAAACCAGCGCTTCGCCTGAGACATCGTCAGAATCTGCTCCGACAGCGGAGGATGTTGCGGACCAAAACATGCAAACCGCCTGAGACATCCCCACCATTTGGGCGCGAACGGAGGCCGTGCAATACCCCTGGCGGCCCCCCCCCTTAGTAGTGCTAAAACCAGCAAGCCGCTCGAGACGTCCTCATCATCTGCTCATCGTCATCGTCATCGTCATCGTCATCATCATCATCATCAACATCTTTATTATCATCCTAACCATCCACATCACACTCATCCATCATTCACCATCACCATCACACTCACATCATATCACCATGCCATGGTCATCATCATGACAATCATCCTCATTGTCTATTGCAGAGAGGGAGGAGGTGGTACGGGTGGTCTGGCGCGGTCGGAGAATAACAAGAACCCCATCCTTTGGATATGGGGAATAAATCTTGGTATGCGAAATCTTGGGGCACACTCTTTGTCGATCTTTGAGGGTTCTGAGGTGTCCCAATTTTTCGGTGGGTTCCTGGGGCCATCGGGGGACAATACATTTCCGTGGGGCATGCTGGCAGGCCGATCTTTTTATTTGATGTGGTTTATCATTGTAGGATGGCCACACCTTCGCTCGACACGTCACCACATGAGCGTAGTTCTGGGAAGGCAGGGGGGACGGCGATTTGCTGGAGGCGTCTTCGGCAGTTCTCCTACCGAGTCAGATGGATGAGGCACACATTGGATGCTCGTTCTGGGGACTTCTTCTTTCCTGGAGCCACTCGTTCCACTCATGCGTCGATGCTGCGTCGAACGTCCGTCGATCTGAATCGAACTTGAGTCGAGCTAGAATCGACCTATAATCAATTTATATTCGAACTACAAACGAACATATCCGTCAGGTGCCCCCCAGGAAGGTCCCATAAACGAGCATTTAAGGAGAGGGAAGGAGCTGAGGGAGTAGGGGAGGGGTAGCGAGGGGAGGGATGGAGGAGTGGCGCCTTGGACAACGCTCCCAACCCGTTGGGCACGTCGGCGAAGGTAATGCCGTAGGACGGTGAGAGGAATCCGGGCAGCTTATAGTACTCCGGCACCTCGGCGCGCCCGATTACTGTTCTAGGTCGCCTGACTTCGCGCATCGCGCCCAGCGCTGTGCGGCGCGCTGCCATCTTCGCGCCCCGCGCGCCCTCCCGCAGCCCCCCCTTGGAGCAGGGCAGTCCCTCTGGCCCGGGCCGCGGCGCGCGAAGCGCGGTCATCTTCGCGCCCCTGCGGGTGACCCGGACTTCCTGCCAGAGGAATCGATCGCGACCGAGTCATCCAGCACAAGCGCGGTCTGCGCCGCAGCATTGACACGAGAGGCCACCCAGCGCCCCTGGGTGCGTATGATTCCGGGTGGTCGAGCGAGGCTGCGCGCCCGAGTCACATGCCTCGCTGTCCAAACGACGCCCCTCGAGCGCGGGCAGGGCTGGGATCCTGAGGACCTGAGCGCTTGCGCGATCGAAGCTTCCCCGGTGGAATCCTACTCGACGCTGGCACGGCTTTTTCTTACCGATATCGCTGTATCTCGCCTTTCCTACCTCTTCCCCTCCCCTCTCCCATCCCCTCCCACCGCCCTCCCTCCCTTCTCTTCGCTCAGTTTGCCCACGCTCCCCCTCCCTGGCAGTAGACTTTGACCAGCGTAGGGCGTTGGATTGCACTTTCGTTCGTGCAGTTCCCGCTGCATTTCCCAAACGGTGCTTGCACTGACTAGACTCCCGCCTGGACGCTGACTCCGAAGAACTGCATTTGCGTGCTCTGTCCCCGACGGCCCCCCCGGCCCATGCAGTGCCCCCAGTTTCCTTCTGCCCCCAGTTTTCTTCCTTCGGTTCGGTCCTCGACTGGCATGTGGCACACTGCGTGCCTTAGGTCGGGCATGTCCCCTTACAGACGGATTTTGGACGAACAATGAAAAATTATCCTGGCGAAGAACCCAACCATATGCAGTTGCGAATACCGCCTTTGCGGGCATCGCCTTCGGGGGATCTCCTCACGGGGCCATGAAGCATGCGGAGGGTGTGCCGATGTGGGGCGGGGCCGCCATGTAGGCGCTGCCACTGGTGCTTTAGGCGGACCGCGATATGGGGAAGTGTGAGGGGTGCGCCGCAGTGGGGCGGGGCCGCCACTGGGGCCTTCGGTGGGGCTCCATATGGTGCAACGAGACAATGTAATGGGTGGGGGAACTCATGCGAGTACAGCCACCGGGGCCTTCGGTGCAGCTCCCAATGAGGCCACGAAGCGCTGTACTGGGTGGGGGGAACGCATGCGAACACCGCCACTGGGGCCTTCGTTGCAGCTCCTCTGGGGCCACGCAGCGCTGCACTGGGCGGGAGCGACGCATGCTAGTGCATCCACTGGGGCCTCCCGTTGAACTCCCTATGGGACCACGAAGCGCTGTACTGGGTGGGGGTGACGCATGCGGGCGGTGCTACTGGGTTCGGAGCTTCCTATGGGGCCACGAAGCGCTGTAATGGGTGGGGGATGAGGCATGCGGGTGGTGTCACTGGGGCCTTCGATCGAGCTTCCTATTGGGCCACGAAGCGCTGTGCTGGGTGAAGTGTGACGCATGCAGGCGGTGCCACTGGGGCCTTCGGTGGAGCTCCCTATGGGGCCACGAATCGCTGTACTGGGAGGGGGATGACGCATGCAGGCGGTGCCACTGGGGCCTTCGGTAGAGCTCCCTATGGGGCCACGAATCGCTGTACTGGGAGGGGGATGACGCATGCGGGCGGTGCCACTGTGGCCTTCGGTGGAGCTCACAATGGGGCCCCGAGACGCTGCACTCGGTGGGGGTGACGCATGCGAACACAGCCATTGGCGCCTTCTTTGGAACTTCCTTTGGGGCCACGAGGCGCTGTATTGGGTCGGGGTGACGCATGCGGGCGGTGTCACAGGGGCCTTCGGTGAAGCTCCCTGTCGGGCCACGAAGCGCTGTGCTGGGTGGGGGTGACTCACGCGGACGGCCCCACTATGAGACCACGAAGCGCTGTAATGGGTGGGGGTGCCGCATGCGGGCGTTGCCTCAGGTGCCTTCGGTGGAGCTCCCTATGGGGCCACGAAGCGCTGTACTGGGTAGGGGTGACGCAAGCGGGCGGTGCCACCAGGGCCTTCGGTGGAGCTCCCTATGGGGCCACGAAGCGCTGTACTGGGTGGGGGTGACGCATGCGGACGGTGACACAAGGGCCTTCGATGGAGCTCCCTATGGGGCCACCAATCGCTGTACTGGGTGGGGGATGACGCATGCGGGAGGTGCCGCTGGGGCCTTCGGTGGAGTTCCTCCCTATGGGGCCACGAGACGCTGCCACTGGGGCCTTCGGTGGAGCTACCTTTGGGGCCACGAAACGCTGTACTGGGTGGGGTGACGCATGCGGGCCCACTGGGGGCTTCGGTGGAGTTCCTTATGCGGCCACGAAGCGCTGTACTGTGTAGGTGAAACGCAGGGAGGAAGGTGAAGGGGGAGGAGGGAGAGGAGGGAGGAGGGAGGAAGGAGGAGGAACGCGGGGACCGTCTCTTCAAAACGAGGACGCAAAACCACAGGATGTTTGGGAACTATTCGAAAGTCATCAAACATGATTTAAAACATCGTCCCCAAACTATTCCATTACTATTTTCGAATGTTCCTCCTGTAGAGGGACAGGCGCGACTTAAGCATTCACCGATCCTGGGCCCGAGGTTGGTGAGGTGGCCCGTTGATAGGGAAACAAGCAATGACATAAACATAAAAACTCGGTGGTCCGCGCGGATTTTTCGGATCTGCAATGGACCCCCCTCCCTGGCGCGGAGCGCGCCAGGGGCTGCACCAGAGGCGCCGCCAGGGGGCCCCAGCGCCGATCCGAGAAATCCGCGCGGACCTCAAAATTCTTATGTTTATGCCTTTGTTCGTTCTCCTAAAGGTGGGTGAGGTGGCCCGTCGACGTCCCTGCTCCCAGCGGTGCAGCAGCCACACGCCACTCCCATGCCGTAGTGGCGCCCGAACCCCGCCGCCGGTATAAAGGCTCCGGCGGCGCCGTATACGCTGCGCGCCCAGAGGCCGGTGGCGCAGCAGCCACGCGCCCCTCCTGTCCTGGCGGCGCTGGCGGGGCCGCGTCCAGGGGCGCCCGCGGTGCGCTCGGAGCCCGCGGCGCCGCCGGCGTCGCCGAAGACGGCGCCGCGTCGGCGCCGCAGCCGGGGGCGCCGATCGCCGCCCTGGCCGCGGCGTCGGCGGGGGCGCCGGCGCGGGCGTGAACCGCCTCGCTGCTTCGGCCCTGTCCCCGGTCGTCATCGTCTCGGCCCTGCCGTCGGTGCGAGTCCCTGTGGCCTTGGTCCAAGTCGCTGTCGTGGCGGCAGGTGGCCGACGCGCTGGCGGCAGCGCTGCTGAGTTCGCCACCGCGCCCCCCGGCATGTGGTGCTTTTTTGTTGTGGAGCTCTCGCCTCTGAAGAGTGACGGTTGCTGATCCTCCCCGTCAGGTGCCCATGGTTTTTCTCCAGCCATGCTGTGGTGTTGGGTCCTCGGTTGGGAGAGACAGCGCCTCGCGTCTCCTCTCCTCTCCTCTCCCCTCCCCTCCCCTCCTCTCCTCTCCTGTCCCTTGCTCTCCTCTCCCCTCCTCTCCTCTCCCCTCCTCTCCTCTCCTCTCCTCTCCTCTCCTCTCCTCTCCTCTCCCCTCCTCCTCCCCCCTCCCTTTCCCATCCCAGCTCCCATCCCTGCTCGCCACGTAGCCAACAGCGTTATGCCAGGTGTTGGCGGACGGTACCATGTACGCAGTCAATCATATACGTGTGTCGTCTGACGACGATGCATGGCCAGAAGATACGAGGGAGGAGGATGAGGAGCTTCGTGGGTCGCTGAGTGCCTTTGATGTAGCATGGGACCCATATATCGGGATTGACGAGACCTGGGCGCCAGATTTTGCTGCACCCCGAGCCGAACGGGTCCGAGCGGACCCTGACCGGCACAAGTTTTTACCGCCTGAGCCGCAAACATCGGAAGTCCCAGAAGCTGGGGTTGTTTTTTACCCAGAAGCCGTACCTCGGGACCCAGGGCCAATCGAGGCAACCGACGATCAAGAGTATGCAGAAGCTTTGGCCTTTTTGAAGGCGCCAGCATAGCGCCACCAGAGGATCTCCCCGCCCGTTGAGCTCACCGAGGCGTTGTTCCAAAGGACTGCAGCCAACAGTGCACAGGCCAGGGAGCGTCGCAGGTTGCGCCTCGCCAAGAGGGTAGCCCCATGGTCGTTGCAGCCCGACTTTGGTATCGGGCTGTTTGACAATGCGCGCGACTAGACAGTACCGTTGGAGGGGCAGGTATGGAGGTTCAGGAGTGGAGGTGGGCAGAGTAGCAGCAGGACCTGGGAGTGAGATGCCTCAGCCATCTCACAGCCTGCGCGCCACTCGCCTCACGTCAGCCTTTTGTCTGCTCCGCTTCCTCAGATGGAGTCCGTGTCAGCCCGGCCCACTCTTGTCAGACTACACTTGCTAGCGTTTCTCACCGCAATTTTGTCTTGAGCCACTCGAGGGCCCGTTCATGCGAAGGGTAACTGTGAGGGAGCGATCCGTCTTCTCCGACTCAGGTGCCATCCCCTCGGATGCCACAGGCTTCCAAGCTGTACTGTGGCCGTGCTATGGTTATTGCTAACCCCCGACAGGCCGTCGGAGGCATTTCGATATACGTCTTGCAACAGTCACTTTGGACTCTTGCAGGTGCCCCGAGGCCCTCAGTTCACAGGTTCTCCTGGGATGCCGCTCGTCTGCTGAACGAGCTTGCAGGACGGGAAGGCGGGTGGATGATCAGACTGGGGGTGCAGCGCAGCAAGCAGGCCCCAGGGACTGAGATGCCTCAGCCATCTCACAGCCCGCGCGCCATCCGCCTCGCGGCAGCCTGTCGTCTGCCCCGCTCCCCAAGAGGGAGCCCGTGCCCGCCCGACCCGCGCCCATCGGCCTAGATGCCAGCGCTTCTCACCCCACTGCTGTCTTAGGCCATCTGATGGCCCGCTCATGTGAGGGGCACCAGCGGGGAGCCCAGAGAGGTTATCCGCAGGTGCAGGAGGGGTCCGACCACAAAAACCCTCCGCAAGAGACCCAG